TTAATTGGTATTAACTATGGACAAAAAAGTTTATCAGTAGTTTGTAAAAGATAACTTTTATTTGAAAAATAAAGATGATTCATTATTATGAGTTTTAGCTTTGTTTCCATTAATAAAATTATTTTCATTATATATATATAAATATATATATATATATATATATATGAATGAATTCCCTTTTTTATACCTCTAATGCTCATTAAAGATTATAATAGAATATAGCCATTAAGACAAACAAGCCTGAAGTGTAATTTCAAAGGCCTGTTTTGCTTGGCAACTATTTTATCTTAATTAAAATAGATTTTAGCATCACATATGAAAAAGATTTGAACCTTTTCCCTTCAGATCTGTCTTTGTACTCTTACATGTTTTCTGTTGTGTTTGGCAAATTTAAATCACATATAAGTTATTGCAAAAGTTACCATGGTTAAAAAAATAGCACTTGCCCCGACAGCCAACTACTGAAGTTTTGTTGTCTAGCAAAGCTGATAAATTAGCCATTGATGTAGGTTCAGCTGGAAAAAATGAAAATAGTTTATCAGAAAAACAAATAAAATGAAACACTGCATCATCACAATTTTTTTAAGTATGAGAGAATCTGACAGTTGTTTTAGATGTAACTTGAGTTTAATAACAGAATCCTGAATATTTAACAACTAACCAGTGCATTCATTCTAAAAGATTTATGATCCTTAGTTTATGATTAACTTTATTAATATAGGAAGCCACCAGTTGATGAAATATAGCCCAATGTGTTAGAAAGGAAAAACGTCACATAGTATATTTCAAAAGTAAGATCAGAAAAATAATCAACATCTATGAGATAGCAACTTTTAATGTTCAATTGAAATACTTAAGAACAATCAATAGATATCTATAATATTTAACATACTATGTAATATTTTTATCAATAATTTAAAAGGCTAATTAATGTTTTTTAAAGATGAGCCAGTAAACTTATTTTAGAAAGGAAAATGTAAGATGGTGATAATAAAGTTACAGAACTGGAAATCCTAAATAATGGATGATTATTTTCTTGCTTCTGGTCATAAATATATATTTTTGCCCATGGAAGAGAAGCTTTAACTCACTGTCCTAAATTTGTTTCATTTGAGCCTTATTTGTAGAGAAAATATTAAAATGGAGAATAAAACTAATATATAGCATTAAAACTTAAGCTGATGAATATTTTTTATTAATCAACAATTAATTAACATTGCTTTACCACTGGATACATTGTTTACTGTACCGTTTAGTATCTTCTCATTTTCTTTTTATTTTAAAAAC